TGCAGCCAGGCTGGTTATTTGAAGCAGGACTAGTCAATGAACTAGACATAGAGTATATAAGAAACAGGAGTCAAGAATGACTTCCTTTTGGGAGAATGGAGTTATATCTATTGAGATGATAAGACTACAAATGTGGAAAACAAATATTCCCAGTCCTGTTAAAAGTTTGAAGTACCCATCATATACCCATAGAAATAGAGTAAATATGTCTAAGGATTTGTTTCAAGGGTAAAAGAGCCATAAACATCTTTTTTAAGAGACAAGGGAAGAGGTAGAACAGAGTGGAAGTGGGGTAAAACACAAAAGATATGAACTAAACTAAAGAGGAAGGAGTAAGAGCGAAAACAGAACTTCGGGATACATTTGGGCTTAAGCGTATAGAGTCCGTGAAGGACTCAAAAGAAAGGACAGACGCAGATAAACTGTAAGGGATCAGCCCGGCATCTCAGAGCTGGGGGCGGAGCTCTGAACACGAGGAGAAAAGCCAGGGGCAACTTCTCAAAGATGAGCAAATATGCCTACCAGGATCTAACTGTGCGTGTTTAATAGTGTGAAATAAAGCGCAAGGGAAGTGTCTGGCTGAAGAGGGAACGCCGGCAAGGGGCAGGAAGGAAAAATGTCCACATATGTGCAGCTGGTTACACTGACTTGTGAAACGAGGTAATAGATAAGAATCTTAAGCACCAAGTCCTCTCAGTAAGCCCCCCGAGAACAAAATGAAGACTACCTAATAGGAATTTCCCAGATTCGTCTTCATCCATGCTGGCATGCACTGCTTTATTTAGCAGCTCTAGAAACCTGTTTTCCCACGAAGAATGCTCCAAAACAGTTAAAAGCTGTACGCTAAGAATACTGTCCTACTAAACCAGACTTCTAAATTGTCTAACTCTAAACTGCCTCTATTTATTCATCACATTCTGTACTAGTTTTCAGATGCTAGACTTCAATTTCTTTCTTTCTTTCTCTCTCTCTCTCTTTTTTTTTTTTTTTTTTTGGTTTTTTGAGACAGGGTTTCTCTGTGTAGCTTTGGAGCCTGTCCTGGAACACACTCTGTTGCCCAGGCTGGCCTCGAACCCACAGAGATCTGCCTGGCTCTGCCTCCCGAGTGCTGGGATTAAAGGCGTGTGCCAACAACGCCCGGCTTAGACTTCAATTTCTGTTACAAGTAATGAAAAGGCTACTTAATGAAAGATACCTCATCCCAAATAATGTGACTACAAAATTAACTGGTACTGATACAGATTGTGCTTACCTAGCATACGAATATATAACGCAGTCTGATCAGAACTGTCATAGGAAATAGCTCCACGTCTCTGGAAAAAAAAAAGCATACATTTTAGTACATGATAATGAAATATCTAAAATTTAATTAGTAAACATGCATTTATTATTTATTACATATTATTTGCAAAGCATTGTGCAAAAAAGGTTGAATCTACAAAATCCGCTCTGGAAATCTCCAGCTGGAGGAAAGGAAAATACAGTACAACATGGCTGAGAACTACCATGACAAATGGCTACAAGAGAAAAAGGTTTGTGACGCACAAGCTGATTTCTTTTGGAGGTGTGGGAGGCTGAGAACAGACCCCAGAGACTCTGGCATGCTAAGAAAGCACTCTATCATTGAGTTCTATCTCCAGTTCTACAAAAGGCTGTTTCTTTTTAAAAAAAAAAAAAAATCACGAGTTACCCAGTGGAAGAGAGAGAGGGTAAAGGCAATCTACTGGTGTTCAGGTCCATCTCCAAGCCCCACTGGTGTTCAGGTCCATCTCCAAGCCCCAGGTCTTTATATGTTAGAAGAGTGACTATTTCACGTCCCACTCACAATCCTCCAATGGCTCCCACTACACTGGAGATGAGCCCACGTTCTCGGGTCCACGGCCTCCAGGATCTGCTTCTGGCTGTTCTTGTCCTAGCACACCCCTCCCCACTATGATGCAGCCCACGCGGTCCCTTCCTCCTCTCACGGTGCCCAAGGCGGCCTTCACACTGCTGCCCCCTGCCTGCTGCCTGAGGCATTGCCATTCCTGCTTCTTTCTTTTTTTTTGAAGATTTATTTATTTATTATGTATACAGTATTCTGCCTGCATGTATCCCTACAGGCCAGAAGAGGGTGCCAGATCTCATTACAGATGGCTGTGAGCCACCATGTAGGTGCTGGGAATTGAACTCAGGACCTCTGGAAGAGCAGCCAGTGCTCTTAACCTCTGAGCCATCTCTCCATTCCTGTTTCTTATGGTCTGGATGGAACAATCTCAGACATCCCTGACTCCCAAAGCTGCAGCCGTCTGAGAACTATGTTCTCCTGCAGTACCCCCACAGCACTGGCTCCATTTGCTACTGCCTTTA